CAGCAGCTCCATCACAGACGGGTGGAGCCAGACCACCGGGGAGATGGAAACCAGGAGGCTGAGAGCTGCAGCTGCCTTTTCTTGGGAGGAACATCTGTGAAAGCCTGCACGGCAGCAGCAGGGGAGGAGGAGTGGGCACAGGCAGAGAGCGTTCCCAGGGATGTGCTCACACAGATAACTGTCCCTGGATGGTTTCCCAGGCTGCTGCAGCAGCACTTCCCTCCCCTGTCAGGGAAGAGGCAAAGACCATGGTGTGGGACAAGCAATCGAAGTGTCAGCACGGCCTCTTGCTGCAGCATCCTGTTTCCTGTGATGCTTTTTGATGGCCGAGGTGACCAGAATGGGAACAGTTCTTCCTCGCTGATAACATGTTGTTTTTTTCTTACATAGGGACTTTTACACTCCTGGCATCTCAGAGTGCATACACTAAGTACACAGAAGACAAGAGTCATCTTGCAACATTTGGCTGTCCCCTTATGACCAAATGATTTTCTATAGGAGGCTGCTGCTATCGTTACAGAGATGGGAAGAAAAAGAGATGACAAATGACTGGCTGAAGGCTCACACTGAAGTTTGGAATAGGCTTGCACCAGCTCTTCTGGTGCACAGACCTGTGGGCTGTTCTCCTAGGCACACTGAAATCAGCGGGAATGTTTGCTCTTTGAACTCAGTAGAAAGATAGGAATCAGTAAGGTGCGGGGAGTGATCTTCTCAGGCTGGGTATCTATATCTATATCACTTACTAGAACAGATAAACCAGGCAATGGACCATGCTCTGCCTCCAACAGTCAGTGCTGTGCCTGGGGACACATTCACGCAGACCTGAGTTTTATTCTACTCACCAAAGGTTAAGAACAGTCTCTGGCATATGCTACCCTAATACCATGCTTGGATACTTTCTGGGAAAAAGTCAGAGAGGCCAAAGGTATAGCAAGGACCTTGCTAAAACCCAAGCACAAAGAAAGATAAGCCTCAGCCTTGTTTTATTTATCAGTGTCACTGCAGCCTTAGAAACTACAGTAATTGAGATACTTGATGCCTTTGCCTCACCTCAGTCTCATGCTCTTCTCACTTGTTTTCTAGATCAAACTGCTTTCTTTTATGAGCCAAAAATTCTTTGTGGGGACCCTCTTTACTATTTGAATCTCAAAACTAATACATATATGAAGACTAAAGGTCACTAGAGGCCAAGTTCAAGAACAAACATAACATGAGATTTAAACAATATTATACCCTAAATTATGACATCGAAAACTTCTGTTCATTTGTTACCTAACTGCAGTACCTTTTCTACCTGAGTTGGGAGTTGCCTGACATCAACATTTGAATATATGCCCTCATAGTATCTACTTCTCACCACTCCCAATTAGCATCAAGTTAACCACATTCCAAGATCTGGAATTGAGATATTCCTTTACTTAAATCCATGGGAAGAATTCAGACAGTAGTAGGTGCTGTCTGCACATGCTTAACATCATTCTGCTGGGGTAGGAAGCGAGCTGGACAGGGGGAGCAGAGGCCAGCACCCTCAGTTTGGCTACAGACAGACACACCACTGCAGGGAAGCTGCTGAGGAACCAATGTTACTATCTTCCCACACATTTTTCTTCCTCATTTCCCTCACACTCAGTCTTCTGATTCTGCTTTGGCCATGCTTCTCTCTTACTGCCAACAGAAGTCAGCATGCATAATCTGTAAATATCACTCAGTCATAGAGGCTGAAACTACAGATATGCATTAAATTATTGCACAGTTTACTAAAGAGAAGTCTCATTCTGAAAGTTTGACTTTTATGTTGAGGTACTTCACTGCCATTTTCTTAATATGCTTATTTTATATTTAAAAGCATACCTAGCAATATGCAATTATGCAATATACAGATATACACACTATGCAATATATATATACACTATATAAAAATGCGATATAAATATTTACATACTATATAGTAACTATATTTATCTCTTCTATAAACAAACATATAAAATAATACATATTGTAAAATTAAACAATGTTTGAATATTGTGGAGCTGATATAAGTGCCACTTACAGCAGGGAGGTAACTGTTCAACAGAACTGGCATGAGCTATCATCATACTGTACATCATCAGAGAAGTATGAGAAGGCACAGCTGAGTTTACTGTTTCACCTGATAAACTAAGCCCTGGAGCAAGGGATTCCCTCCCTGACTGACTTCTTGCTCATTCCCTGATGGCTGCCAGCCTGGGAGATGTCTCATAATTAACCTGCAGTGTCACGTTGGCAGCTGAGGACCATTTCACACAAAGTCATTTCCATGGAACATCCATGACACTGGTTGCTCCTGGTTACTTCCTCTTCAAACACGGACACTTTAATGCAGTCTTCCACTCAGACACCACAGTATTTCCAACACAGCTGCATAAAAGTCTCTAGGGCTGCCTCAGGGAGCCATCCAGCTTTCTTCTCTCCTCATTACACTTTCCCATAGTCTACCTTGCACAGGATCTTATCTGATTGAAAGTTAATCCTGTAAAAATAGAAAAATTCAGATAACAAAGCATTTGCTTCAGTCTGAAGAGTGATTTCCTTCTATAGAAACCTGAAGCTACAGCTGAATAACAACATAATGAAATTGCATCTTCATTCAGTCTCACTGCTGTAATTACTGAACAAAAAACATATGCAGTGTCCTGAAGTTCAGTTACCTTGTTTTTACTGCACTCTTACTGACAGTCCCAAGCAGCCCACGATTCCATGCTGCAGAATGTCCAAGCACAGGAAAACACTCTCCCCACATCTCCATCTCCTCTTTATTTCCCAAAAAAGGGATTGCAAAATAAAGGCATAGGGGAATGAAATCATGTAGTAAGGAAGTGACAGTATCAGAAATGGCCTCTGTGCCTTCTCTGTCTGATGTCGTACAGCTTCTGGTAAGTTAGAGCCTCATGAAGATCCAGATCCCTGGCATTTCAGTCATGCCAGTGGAGGAAGCCGTGCAGCCAAGTTAGAGTTGCATGGAGGAATGGAGACCAGGAAGAGAACGCAAGGAGAGGACAACCAGTTTTGTAAACTATATAGGTATAGAATAAAATTGCAGCACAACTAATAAACTTACAAGTCAAATTAGGTAGGTGCCAAATCACCTTATTTGCATTCCACATTTATGTGATCATAGCTACTTGCTTATATTTGAACATTTTCCAAATATATATCTAAAGATGCAATCTTCAAAACATGTCCTAGTCTAAACAGGAAAAGCTCAGGCTGACAAAGCAGTCAAAACTATGAAATGATAAGGGTTCATTTCTTCATCAGCAAAAATAATATTCCTAACATCCAGGAACGACTGCACTATTCTGAGGAATACGTGCTAGAAAAAGTTAGATCTGAAGAGAGCAAGCATGTGGAGACAGACAGTGGTAGTGTGTGCTTGCAGACACTTTGTTTTGAATTTCTGTAGACCTTTAAGGTTATGCTGAAAAAAAAACATGCTTAATCAAAATTCAAGCAAAATCAGGGAGTTATAAAGATTTTCTTCAGAACTTGCCGATGTGATCAGCTATTCGGAAAAAAATAAATCAGCATCTGTTGTGATACAACCATCCAGAACCTGCAAGAACTGTGAGAATGAAGACATCACAGCACTCTACCCCACTTTGGCTGTGTAATTGCAATGACTCAGAGCCTGAAGCCCATAAAGAACAAAACCAGCCTTAAAGCACTCTGTAAAAATGCTGGAGATACCGTGCAGAGTTACTGAACTATGGTAAATTCAGAGCCCTGGCTCCCAAAACCATGCCTCGCTTGCCTGTGTTCACCCGCAGGCGGGGGATCCGTGTCTGTAGGAAGCCACATGGTGGCAGCGCTGCCCCATGCCGGAGTGCGACCAGCCTGGGAACACGAGAGCCAAACCAGGTCCTCGCAGCTCATTTGAAGAGAGAATTTGAAAGACTTATTTTTGACAAGCGAACTTAGTCATGCATTTCAAGGATTAAACTGAATCTAGCAGAAGAAAGCACGCCAACTCTAAAGAATTCAAAATTTAAATTTCATACATAAATTTCCTTCTATCCTAATTAAAGCTATTTTGCTACCACATCACATAACCAAAGTACATAATTACAGAACCTCAGTTTCAGAAAATTTCCAATTCAGTGAATACTCTGCAGTACACCCATATAAATATACAATTATATAATTTTCCTATAGAGACCAATATTCTTTCTAAATTTGAAATTCAGCTTGACATCTGTTTCATTCAGTCTGGGTGCTGAGTCCTTAATGGGCCACATGGCAGGCACATTCCTGGGCTCCCATGTGAAGCACAACAGCTTTTCCAGGAGAAAATATAAGTGTAGCTGAAAGATAGTTCATGACACGCTCTACTCCCTACAGACAGCTCAGTGACAGATTTAGAGGACCGTCCTGGACATGGAGAACCAGTGCCATGCAGGCACCCACATTGTGCCCACACGTCCCATTCTGCCTGCCCTCTGAGCATGCACCATGCAGTGATCACAGTGCTGCTGCAGTGCCACATGCACGTGTGGAGCAGCAACACTGGCAGCGGGCTGTTGCAGGAGCCCTGCTGCCTGCTGGCTCCTGTCAGAGCAGGGCTGACCGCTCGGTTCAGTCAGAGAGTGTGTGTGCAGCGGCCAGGCCAGAGACCAAGGGGGCTGCAGCAAGCTGAAGGGTGCCAGTGCCAGCGCCCTACAGACAGGCCGGGTGCGTGCCACGAGTGTTCACAGCGTGTGAGCTGGAATGGGCACCAGCTCTCCAGCGGCTCCGCCGGCAAAGGCGCTGCCTCGGACGTGGCCGAGCCGAAGCCTGTTATCAGTTCTACAAGCCTTAGGACATGAGACAAAGGCAGAAACTGATGCACAGGAAGTTCCAGCTGAACACGAGGAAGAACTTCTTTACTGTGCGGCTGACCGCGCACTGGAACAGGCTGTCCAGAGACGTTGTGGAGTCTCCCTCACCGGAGATACTCAAGAACCGTGCGGACCCAATTCTGCGCCATGTGCTCTGAACGATCCTGCTTGAGCAGGGAGTTCGGACCAGAAGACCCGCTGTGGTCCCTTCATTCGTGCCCCGCTCTGCGGTTCCGTGCGGAGCGCGCACGGCGGGCCTGTCCGGGGGCGCACGGCAGCTCCGGGGGCGGCGGACGACAGCGGAAGCGCTGCAAGCGCGGCCCCCTCTGTCCCCTCCTCCCTCCCTCCCTCCCGCCGCCGCCACTTCCGGCGGCCGCTCTAGCCGCGCCGCGTCTATGCCCGCGGCGCTGGGGGATGTTTATTGTCGCGGGGAGTCGGCCCAGCACCCGGAACGCCGCCGGGCGACCGGCACCCACTGACCGGCACCGCGCTGCGCCCTGCCCTGCCCCGCCCCGACCGCCGCCCGCCCGCACGGTAACGGCCGCCGCCCGCCGACGGGCCGCGCTCCTCCTCCTCCTCCCCCTCGCCGCCGTCTCGGGTCCGCGGGCCCGGCCGCAGCCGCCGCCGCCGTTTGAGCCCCCGCGTCCCGTCGCTCTCCGCCGCCGCCCCTGCCCGGCCGAGGTGAGGGAGGCGGCGCGGGGCCTCCCCCGCCTCTCCGCGGCCCTGCCGGTGCCTCCCGCCGCGGTGCAGATCGCGCCCGGGGCAGCGGGGCGTGCGTGGCCGGGGCCGCCGGGGCAGGGAGAGGAGGAAGGGGCAGGGCATCCAGCGGGGGAACGGCCCGTTCCCGGCCGGCCCGCCCGGCCCCGAGGGCTTTGTGGCGGCCCCGTGCCCCGCGGCGGCCGATGCCCGCACAGCCGGCGCTGCCGAGCGGCGGAGCTCAGCGTGGCCAGGCCGCCCTGCTGCCTGCGCTTTGTTTGTGCCGTGCCGGCCGCAGAAGTTTCGGGCTGGGGTTGAGGGGGGAGAAGGAATAGTTGTTGACCAGAGCGTTGTGACGCTGGCGCGTATAGGGCTTTGAGTGGGATTCCCAGCTGCGGGAATAGGAAGGGTACTCGTGCTTCTTCAGCTGGGACGCGCAAATGGTAAAAATGTTTGACTGGGAGGGGGTGAGAGACTTACCCGTTGCCTTAAAATATTTCGTTACAGCTAAACATTTTTACTTTTCTTACGACGTTTAATCACGTTGGAATGGCCACCGAACTTGTTGGTTCGGACTTTTGTCGTACTTAGGATGATTTTCCACATATTATAAAGACCAAAAGGATTCTTCTTGATGCTTAGCAGTCAAGTACACCTGGATGTTTTAAGGGAAAGATGGTACAAACTTGAGTTCACATGCATCTTGGTTTGAATATGAATGGACCTTTTGATGAGAGAAAGATTTGAGGAAAATGGCGTGTAATGAAATATTTAAAATACTCTTTCTTGTCTTGCTCTATATACTCTTTGGTTTTATTCTTGCAAATGGATTTCTGTTGGACAACCCTATGGAGATGCAGTGGGCTTATCCAAGAGCAGGATTGATGTCCTACTTGCTTTTGATATAGCTGGTATTATCACTCTGTGCGTGTATCTAATTGAACAAATCCTGGCTTTGCAGGTATTTGAAAATTTTCTCCTTCAAAATATAAATAGTCATGACTCTGCAGATCCTGAAAGGTGAGAATAGTAGCTTCAAGTTGGCCTTTTGCTTTAGGCACGGTTTAACTTGCCATTGTAGCAGAAAGTAAAAGCATGCACCACTAGCTTCAGTGGCTGGAACTAAGAAAGTTGTTTGGAGCAGAGGATGTTCTGCACAGACAATAGTAACTATGTTGCTCTTGTTTTCAGGGAGTCATTCACCAGCCGCTGTGATCTTAGTGTGCCTAAGAATTCCAGCAGATTTCAGAGTTGTGTCACCTCCAACATTCCATATGGACTTGTTTCCTGAGGGGCTGAACACAAATCTTTAAAACTACATCTTCAGTGGAAGGATGTAATCATCTCTCTCCACTCCTGGCAGGCTTTATTTATTCTCCATTCTCATATGGAAACGTCCTGCAGAGGTTCATGTTAACTTCTTCAAAGATGCCTTCCAGGCATTAGTTTGACAAATGTCTACTGACACAGTAGTGACCAATATCCCTTCAGCTGGGCTGTTGGAATTCTTTGTGGAGTTGGTCAGTTTGTGAGCTGCTTTGGAGAAAGGTTAAAAATAACCAGTAAAAGTTGCTTATACTTAGGCTGATGGTGAAAAAGGTGTTTATTAAACTGTTCTGACATTAACATAACCATTGTTAGATATCCCCCATCTACCTTTATAGCTCTGAGTTTCTTGGATCAAAGGTAGTCAAGAGCTTAAAATAATACTTTGTTTATATACCCCATCCCAAGTGCCTTTCCCTTTTCTTTGATGATGGTGCTGTGGTTGGTTTGGAACTTTCTGAAGAGAGACTGCTGGCTTTTTTAAGTTGTAAGATTTCCGTGCAGGGTGTTTTGTCTTCACGTGTGTTTATAGAGTATCTAAAATAGTATGTCTATGATCCTAACAGTGGATGTAGAGGTAATGCTTTAAGAACTTGAGTGTTCATTGCTCCCTCCAAAGTATTTCTTATTCTGTGGAGTTTCTCTAGTTTCAGAGTAGGATACATTACAGTGTCAAATATCCTTGCATTAGCTTCTGTTGTTGTTTTTATTTATGTGTTATCGTTATTAATCTAGCTGCTTTTTTTTCCTTTCTTTTTTTTTTTCCTCTTAAGGTAATTTTTCAGATATATCCCTGAAATCTATGTTGAAAAGAAAGAACAATCCTCTAAAATTTCTCTGATAAAACAAAATAATGCAACCTTCTGCAGAGAGGTATTTCAGCTTGTTTCCTCTGTCGGGATAGATTGTGTTAAACTGGTGCAAAACAATTTGAAATCAAAGTCAGCTAGTTTCTTGTGTTGGAGAAAGTCAAATGAAGTACATAATCTAAAAGAAATGCTGTACATGTAGACAAATTATTTTTAAATTTAGCCTGTTATTAAATTAGCATTAGCTGGCAAAACATAATTTTAGAAATGAGATTTAGACTCCCATAATTCTACAGTTCAGATGAGAGAACCTTCAAAGGGCAAAATTAATCAACAAAATCTAAGCTGAGCTCAACTTAAGCCCTTACAAATCCAGAACTGGAAAGAACCTGATGTTTGGTTTCTACTCAGCCTCTCTGTTTTGCAAGTGTAACTGCATAAGTATGGGATATAAATAGGCTTATAAGTAAGGAACACTATTTTCCCCATTTTGCAAAAAAGATATGGAAATGTAGAAATTCAGGTTTTGGGAAATAACAGTCAGTGCTATGGTGGTGTGTATGAATAGCAGAGAATACAAGAGACAGCTGGGAAGGAGAAAGATCAGAATGTTCCAGCTGGTCATGCTTGCTGGAGATATGCGTAATAAGAGCAAGATATTTCTTTCTTGGATGTTGTTAGACCTTTTTAACAAATATGTTCTTCAGTTGTTTGCTTTTTTAATGTAGTCCATGTATTTGTATTTTTTAGGAAAGTTTAAGTTGCTTTTGTTCTGATGCTTCCTCTGAATTTAAAGTTATTTAAGGCTTATGAAAGAAAGGTAACAGATCTTCTTCGTAGATTTCTTTTCCCTTTTTGTAAGTAAGGTGTGAGGCATTAAAATGAATGCTTAAATCAAAGACTGTGATATGTTAATGCTTACTTACTGCTTGATCACAAGTATCCAAGCCTAGAAACATTTTGATTTACCCAATCTTTCCAAACCATGCCTTGGAAGAGTTTTAACATTGCATTTGTATGCTTACTAGGAATGGGTGTGTTCAAAATCATTGACATAATATATAGAAGTTGAAATTAAAAAGCCCTTCCCCTAGTATCTGTTGTCTCAAGCTTTCAGAACATGGCTAATTAAAATGGAGGCACACCACTGCAATCTGTGTAATTTTTCTCGTCTTAATATCTATGCAAGTAGATTGTACTTCTAACCAAGATACATTGTAATTGCTGAAAACATCCTTACTGACAGCTCCACAGCTGCCTTTTTGCCTTAATAATAGATCTTTTTCTTTTAAATTGTAATTTTCCTCTCTTTGCAACCGCTTTTTCCTTTGTTCTGAATGAGCATGTGACTTTTCTCCCTGGATCTTTTTAAGACAAGCCATGTTTTATGGGGACATTATCTTACAATACTATGGTTTGCTTAGATATTAGCGACCTTTTGGTGGTGTTATGCACAACTCTGATGTTCTTTCAGAATGTAGATGGAGGCTGAGTGTGCCAGCAGATCCTTGCTGATAATTGGGAGATGCTGCTGATTGGAGGTATCTTGTTGACAATCTTTCCTGGGTTCCAGTAAGAGCCAGGAGTTGGAGCCAGGGTGGAAAACAAATGCGGCTCTGAAGATGCCACGGGTTCCAGCTCCGTGCTGGCCCTGCCTGCATGCCATTCAAAATCTGCACATGTGCTATCTTTGGATCTGGTGCCGTAAATTACTTTCCCAATCTGTAGTCGTCCATCAAAACCAGATGGGATAAGTAATTTCTAACTTTGAGGATTCATGTAATTTTTGGTTCAATAAAAAAGATTAATAAAGGGATCTGGGAGTACTAATTAGTTACTGTTCTCTTCTTTGCCTGCATTCCCTCCGCCCCCACACATAACCTTTGGTTTTTATGTTTTCCTCTTGCTGTTTCTTCATCTCTTTTCTGTATTATCATCCATCTTGCCTTTTCTTATATTGGACAAGCCAACAATTACAGAATAATTCTTTCAGCAGGGAACAAGCTGCAGAGTGTAAGCAGGAACCACCACAGCAGCTGACGCAGTTCGTTGTGCACATCTGCTGTGTAGTTTGTTACTTCTGTGTTGTCAGTGAGTGCTAGTTGAAGGTGCACCTTGAGTTCTCCATTACAGACTTATGTCATGATGTTCAGGAAGGCAAAGTCAGATGAAAATACTGATAATAGCATTAATGTTGTATCTTGAAGATTTTTCATATAGAACCAATATATAAGGCCAAAACATACAAAGTGATATAAATACATTACAGTCTGTTAGGTATGTTATTGTTCTTGATGTACAGTGTCCTGCTTCTTCCATGGCAGTGACCATGTGGAGCATTTCACATATGTGTCAGGTTTTTGGGTTTTTTTCCTTTGCTTTCCTTTTTATTTATTTTGGATGAAATAATGCTAAAATATTTATGTAGGTCCTTTTCACTGTATACCAATGATCTTGCTCTTGTCCCCTCTCATTTCTTCACCTGAGATCTATTTGAGATGCTTGCTGTCTTGGCTTTGTATGGTTCCAGAAGAGATGTCGGGTGTTCTTGGGCTGGGATGAGTGGTAGCCCAGCTGCTGGGGTTAGGATTCTCTTTCCCAGCGAGGTGTGTGTGAGGAGTGTTGTCTTTGAGCATGGATGCTTCCTGGGTGCCTTAGGTTTGCAGTGCATGCACTGGGTGGCCATCCCATGCCTTCACAGTTACCTGTGCTTTTCCTCAGGAGCATTCCATCTCACTCTGCCTGTACAGTGCCTTCCTGTGGGCAGTGCAGACAGTCAGCGCAGGCTGCTGCTGCCACCAGGACATTTTGTGTAATTGTTTTGAGCTGTTATTGGGAGAGATAGGCCAGGAGTACTGGGTGAAGATGGGAAAGCTGTGGTAGCAGGCTGTCTACAGACCGCAGTTTGTGTAACTGGTGTTAGTTCAAAGTTATTCATAGGCTCATCCATTCCAACACAAATGTCAAACTGTTCAGAATTATCAACTTCAGCAGTCAGAGAAGTGTATTTTCCTGAGGTGTCTAATGACATCCTCAAATGAGCTGAGGAAAGATTATCCACTGGAGCTATGGAAGAAGTTTCAGTAATCTTTACAGTGTCTTAATATACTTAGTTAGAATTGTAGCATATTTAACTGGCAATTGAAAATACTCTTATATATATGTGTGTCTATGCACTTCATTTCTGTTAAGTCTGGCAACATGGCTTTGAACAAGTTACCTCCTATTTTCGAGCACAAAGGATGCAGACCTCCCCCTCCCCTCACATAGTTAAATGAGTCAGAATATCGTGTCTTCTGCTTCTTGTCTCTTTTAACGGGCAAATGTATACAATGGCATTAACAGGCAATTTTCTATTGGTATGTTTAATTTTATCATTTTTCCTTCTCAGGATGTGATCTTCGTGGTGAGCTGGTGGGAAAATTGAGTTGTAAATCACCCCAATGGATGCAGACAGTGATGTTGCACTGGACATTTTAATCACAAATGTAGTGTGTGTTTTTAGAACAAGATGTCATTTAAACTTGAGGAAGATTGCATTAGAGGGAGCAAATGTGATATACAAGCGTGATGTTGGGGTAAGAGATTCAGCATACCTTAATTATCTGGTTTTAGAAATGTTTCTTAAGCTAAACATTCTTCTGCCTAATACCTGTGTATGGTGGATAGAGAAAAGCAGAATTTTCTTTCTCTATTTTGCTTGCTGTAGGTATTTAGTTACTTGTACAGAAATGGGAGTGATGAAATGCTGTCTCAGGAGACAGCACTTGGTGAGGTGAATATTGGGTACAAGGTATGTCATGAGACCTCTTAGACATCAGGGTCTATTTTGCCTCCCAAAATTTGATGGCTGTGTCAAGAAAATATATCTTGATACAGAGTCAGCAATGTCAAATCATTGTAATTAGAAAAAGATCAGCATGGTGCTTGTAGTTTTCAGCTTTTTATTCAGTGAAAAATGCCTTCATTTAATCTATTCTGTGTACACTGAATCATTGGCTATTTCATGCTTATTTTGCTCTTCTCAGTAGGCTACAAAGCTAGGCTTTTTAAGTACTGAAAGAGATGAAGGAGCAGTTCAAGCCTATCAAAACTGAAGGGAGTTTTAGTGTAACTTTAGTTGATTTGGGTAACAGTGTTTTTTTTTTCTGGTATGAAATTTAATTGCTGCTAATTTCCAATTTTTCTACTTTTCTTTTTTAGAAGGTTTTAATGAAGCTTAGGAAACCTAGGATTACGGCCACAATTTGGTCCTCAGGAAAAGTTATTTGCACAGGAGCCACAAGGTGAGTTCATGAAGATTCTTTCCCTACTCCTAAATCCTAGTGTATTTTAAAATACAACATTATAATTGAAGAAGAGGTGGTACTAACTGCTGCTTAAATTGGCTCACACTGCATCACATGTAGATCCTAGATTTGGGAGGAAGTATTCTATGTGAAGTGTTTGTGTGAGATAGTGTTGAAATCTTAAACAACATCAGTTTAGCCGCCTTGGGAGAACAGCAGGGAAAACTGCCTTGTTAAGAAAATCCTAAGGAGATTTGAGAAGCCTTTAAGAATTCTGTGTGTTTAGCTAGAAGTTGAGACTTGGGAAGGGATGACCTTTCCCAAGGATATCTCTTTATTTTTTTAAAAACCCACCTGAATTTAATCAAGTTTTACTATGTTGAGGGACTGAAAAGAAGCAAAAGCAGATTCTCAGTTCAGAGACATCTGACACTCACTAAACTCTTAAGATCTGAATTCCTTTAATATATGTCTGCATTTCAAAGTAAGGATTAGTTAAGGTAAAAGAGTAAATTTGCATACTTTCTGTGTATGATCTCCATTCCAAAATTAAAGAGGATTGTTCCGGCTGTTAACTCCAGACTACCCATGATCTTATTTATCTGTTAAGGGTACTTAAAACCATGTGTGATTAAAACATGTCTCTCACTTCAGCTTGAGCCAAGTGCCAAGATACTCTGCAAATAGGGCATGAAGGACTCCATTGGAATGTCTATCTAGTTAAAATGTAATACTTACAGTAGGATGAAGTGAAGGCTGTCCATGAGATCACAGTTGATGTGCTACATTATATAATGGCTCATCTTGTAATCTGAGTAGCTATTGTGGTGTGTGTGTGTGCACTACTATATACTCTGTTTCTGCTAATGCTAGATCCTTTTCTTTCTCCTTTATAGTGAAGAAGAAGCTAAATTTGGTGCCAGACGACTAGCTCGTAGTCTACAGAAACTAGGTTTTCAGGTAATTCTGATGAAAAAGGACTTGCATGACTCAAGCAATGCTGGTAGTTTTTTTTTTAGAAAGAAACAAAGAGGAGGGAGCATAATGATTTAGCAGTTAAGGTGTTTTCACTCAAATGGCCCTTTTGTGTAGGAATACATTTTCCAGATGGTGGTTAAAGAGAAGCTGTTTTGTTTTGTGGATTTGAGTTTTGTTTGGCAGCTCACAGCGGTGCTTCTTCACTGGATAATGAACTACAAAATTTGTTTAATATATGAACAGATGTGTCTTAGATAGAATTTACAATGTCTCAAAAGATTTATTTGGAAAATGCTGAAACTTTACTGTAATTTGAACATAATTTTCACTCATTTCTAATGGAATAGCAGATACATTCCCATCTGAATAAGGGCAAGTTTGAGCTTCTTAAATTAAAGAGGAAGGGAGAAAAGTGCTCCTGCACTGTCATGTTGCACAGCTGGAAATATGCCAAATAAAATACTTAGGACAGGAAACACCCTCTTTTATCTGGGTTTGGGTTAACATTGCCAGTCAGAAACACCACTTGCATTTCATAGTAAGGGTTGAAAAACAGCAACATGAACCACTTAAAATTACATGACTTGGTGCTCTAAAACTTCCTGAAACTCTGTTGTGCTGTTTAAACACAGATTCAGTTTAGGGACAGACAATTAAATAGACACAGCAGCTGTCATTTTCAGGGAAAGACTACTTTTGATTATAGTACATAAAGGCAGTGGTGGCAGCCTATGCTGGTAATGCTGCATCAGACCCAGCAAAATGTGACATTCCTACTGTCACAAATGTGTACTTTGAGCCCAGCCCTTTAAAGTTGGAATGGAATGTTAAGTCAGTGAAGTGCACAGTAAGTACTTCCAGGGTGGATACACCAAGTTTTGTCATAAAGTGAGCAGTTTGTATTTTGAAGATTAAGTTGATTTAAGGCTAAGTTGCTTCTTTCTAACTATCTTTCCAACTATATTTCTAAGTGTAGATTGAAGAAGAACGGCCATTTAATGTTTAGGCAACCTCAGAAAATGAGCAAAAGTTTCCCCAGTGACATTGCCAACACTGACCTGTCAGCAGTGCAGTTTTTTGTATAGCAGTTGTCTGTTGGCTATTTTGTTGTCATCTAAAGGGTCTGTGGTAGAGAATAACTGAAAGTTATTCAAATAGTTTGGGTTGGGTTTCAGAAAGTTACAGAGTAGAAAACCAGTTTGCTCTACTCGCCACTGGACATTAAAGCAAAAGTTGTTACCTTTTTTCTTATTCTTAGCTTTAATACAAATGGTATATAGCAACAAGGCATTAAAGAATTTTGCAATAATATTTAAGCTTTTCCTCTGCTTACTTTGATGTTCCATGAGCTGCTAAATTTAGTTTATTTTCAGTGGGGAGGTGTTTAGTACATCAGTTTGAGTTCTTTCTGTGTCTCATCCTTAAACTGTTCTAACCATACTGCTGTAGTGACCACATGGTACAACTGTGAGATATCTAGTTCAGCAGTTACTCCACCACAGAAGGATAATGTAAATGTTCTGAGTCCATTAAGTGCTCTTTAGATGCATATTAGAAAAGCATCAGTCTGAAGATTCTAATTTTGACCCATCAAAATATTCTCAGTAGTAGCCTTGTCTTTTTTTTTTTTTTTTGCAACCCATGCATCTGACTTGCTGTAAATTCTAATGTCTTTTTTTCCTGTCTCTTTTGAAAAGGTAATTTTCACAGATTTTAAAGTTGTGAATGTTTTAGCAGTGTGCAACATGCCCTTTGAGATAAGATTGCCAGAATTTACGAAGAATAACAGACCTCATGCGAGGTACGTAGGATTTTAAAGAATTTTAGTCCTGGACTACTTCTTAATCTTTTATTTTTTAGTTCTAGATCTCTCTTTTTTACTTTTCATTTTGTTTTCTAGTTATGAACCAGAACTTCATCCTGCCGTGTGTTACAGAATAAAATCTCTCAGAGCTACCTTACAGATTTTTTCCACAGGCAGTATCACAGTTACAGGTATTTTAATGTAAAAAAATAAATATTTAACTTGTTGGGAATATTTAACTTTAGAGCCAGTAGGTTTGGGAAAACAAGATTTTTAAAACAGTCAAACAATTGTGTTGAAAGAATTTAGTTTCCCTGTGCTAACACCTTGTTTGGTTTTGAGTGAAAGTGCCAGAAGAGTTGTAGAGAAAGTATTATTATTGGTAGGCTCAAAAAATTAGTTAGACTGAATGTTTTTTTTAATGAAACCAAAAGTAAGGTAGCACTTAAGAATGCAGGTAATTATTGTTTATTTAAATATTTGAATTTTCTTCCTTTTTTCTTCTGTTTGTAGAGATGTTAACTACACTGCATTTAGCATTAACATCCCTTTCATAAATACATATTTCCAAACTGCAGATTTATGGAAACTCATAGGATAGTATAGCACTTTGTATAGCATAGCATAAATGAGGCTGACCAATAATTTACAGTTCTTCAGACTTGTGCTCTCTTCTTTTAAAGCTCAGCTAAGAGAACAACCGCTGAATCACAGGCATCAGTGATTTTTCCCATGTAATCGAGACATGGTTGTTCTGGGTCTTGGAGAGGCTAGCAATATTTTCTTCTCTCTTCATCATTTTCATTTTTCATTCTCTTTTCTGTTTGCTTGTGAGATATCCACCACCAGTGTCCAGGTACAAGAAGTCATTTTTTCAGACAATACATGTTAAAATGATCCAAAACAAAAAAAAACATTTCGTATCACATTTGCAGGAATTATGTCTTGAAGTTGTTAGAGCTCAGCTGCTGGTTCAGAAGCTGAGTAAGGATTTCTTTTATTTTCACATCTTAATTCAAATGCCTATGTCTATGCAGAACATTTCCCACAAAATATTGGAAGCAGTGTTTTCTGAAGAAGACAAACTTCCGTCAGATTCAGTAATCTAAAAATGAAGGACTAAAAAGTACTTCAAGATTGTAGTATATGTTGGGAACAGTGCAATTGTTCTAGCCAAAACTAGAAACTAAATTTAAAATAAAGAAGAAGCAGTATCACTGCAGTAATAAAAAGCTCTCAGCATGTCTTGTCAGCCTCCTAATGAGATTCGGCTTCTCTGTAGGATTCTTATTACTTCATTGCTTACAGAATCACTTCCATATTTTGAGAAATTTTCTTTTCAAATAGGAAGGTAAATATGGTAAACATAGAAGTTTTGCATCCTTCTAGCTTAGTTGTTGCAGTGAGTTTGAAAAATTAACTCAGAGCTCTGTTGATTTTCTAGGCTTCTGCTTTGCCTCTTCTAGAGGAAAAAAATGTTCTGAGTCTTATGTTTCTTATTCTAAGAAAGATTTAAATTATTTTTCAGCCATAGTACACACTTTCTCAAGTGTGCTTAGATGAAGTTTCCTCTAAAGATTCATGTTTCTGTAGTACTAGTACTTGTAATACCTCTGCCACAGAGAATTTTGAGATAATTAGAAATGTTACAAAAAACCCAGGCAGGTGAGTTCTTTTCCTGAGACAAGAATTAAAAAGATTTTGTTACTTTCATGAAAGATAGTAAAAATCACTAGCATGTGATTTTTACCATCTTTCATGAAAGTAACAAAAAGAAGTATTGTTTCTTTGACTCCAAAATGATAAATGAGGGGTTGTTTATGGGGATTGTGTTGTTTTGGTTTGTTCTTTCCTTCTCTTATATGCCCTAGAATGATGATCCAGTTTTTATACCTCTTCAGCCTTAGAGAGAGTAGTATTTTTTTTGCTGGAACTATTTGCCTACTCATATTCTCACTATTTGAAGGCTTCTCCTTTCCTGAGAACTCTCTTTTCTAATAGCAGAGAAATTTAAGGAGGGTGCAGTATCTATCCAGAAGACAGGTATCTTTCACTAGGCTTGTTTTATCTGGATGCTTCACTCAACCAGTATGAAAATATAGGAAGAAGCCTATTCTTTTCCATTTGCTTGCTGACTGAGCATGTAAAACAATAATTACTTAAGTAACTTATCCTTAAGTTGTTGTTTGTGGGAGTAATTTTGAACAGTTCTCTATACTTGGAAGAAACTTTTGAAGTCTAAAGTGGGGTTACAGAAACCCTGCATTCCTACTCATCAAAGCATATGAGAAGTTGCTGTTCTCCTTTACCTGCATCACCAAGCTTCTCTTCAGAATTAATATCTTCCATGATGTTACTGCTCACTTATTTGAAATCTTAGTTTTTCATTGGCTAAAGTGGTCTGGTACTACTAGCAAGCATTGCTAGGTCATTTTTCATTTTCTTTGCCTGGATACTCACAGATCATGTTAGATAACCTTCATATGCTTCGTCCTGAGATGATAAAACCATTCCCTGGCTTGCAGGTTTTGTCGTGAGATCAGTGATGAAGCTATTTGCAAAACCTGGGATAGAAAGTAATAGTTTATAATTTTCAAACCTATAATAACCTTGCTTGAAATGTACTTCAGTTAAATCCAGCATTATTTAACAGTAGCTCTTGTTGGTAGGTTTTTAAAGCAAGAGCGAAAAGTGGCTAGGCTTGAAGAAGTACAAATTCTTAGAAGATTGACATAAGTAAAAGAACTAATTTACCTCTGCCACTCAGCCTTTTCTCTGGGCTGTTTAAGCCAGTAAATTGAAAATCAGCCAAGTTGTTATGAAATTAAATGACAGTATTATTTAATTGTAATTATCCATTGACAAATGTAGAACATCTTGCAGATTTACAAGAAGACTTTCACATGAAAAGAAAATCTGTTAAGTTTTCTTAACAGATCAGAGAAAATCTGTTAAGTTAGGAGAAATGGGGGAGAACTTGTTATTGTCTGTGGTATGAAGTTGCGATTGCTAATAATATTAAGGTTTTTTTAAAGGTACTGTTGTTATTTTAATTTCTGATTCCCTGAATTTTCTCTTCCTACTGCCTTTTTTCTTTTTTTTTAAACTGTGTCTTAGGGCCAAACGTAAAGGCTGTTGCCAGTGCTGTGGAACAGATTTATCCATTCGTGTTTGAAAGCAGGAAATAAATTTTGTAATTCACCACTTGATGGTTAGGTTCCCTAACCGAGCACCTTCAAAGACTGCTGCACATTGGACTAAAAGCAAAAAGGAAAACTGGACCAACCATAGCAGAGGAATACAGACTCTTTTACTTGCTCATGGCCACAGTATAGACTCCAGTTCTTTTGGATTTTACTCTTAACAGTGCTGTATTGTAAAAACGGAAGTTTACAAGATATGAAATTGCTGCTTTTAAAAAGACATTCTATTTATTTTTGCAGTAATTTCTGTGTATTCATAAGCAAAGCTGTCACGATGTGCACTACCTTTAAGACATTTTTTTTTTTAGCTTGAGCTTGTGTTTTATTTGTGAATAGTCTTTTACATTTTTGTATGCTGAATATTGGGCACCAAAGAAGCTGTAAAAGTTATCTTTTTCACCTGATGAATGTGCACAAATAAAAGTTTGGAAAATATTTCTCTTCATACCTGTTCTGTTATATTCCTTCCCTTTTTATATTACAATTAAAATTGTATAGTTGCAAATTAATTTGAAACAATGTAAGAATAGTCTTTTGCTGATACCTTCTGTTTCTGTTTGTAGTATGTGTAAAACTTTGTGCTTGGGCTAGATTGAAATCTATAGTAGTGACGTATGTTTATCTGAGGATGAAATTTGGTTTGTTCCCAGTTCTCTTAACTACATGCCAGACTTTAAGTATTTTCTTCTTGTTACATGAAGAGAAGACATTTCTAAATATAAAGGTCTACAGCAAGTGTTTTCCTGTAGATGAACCGTAGAATATGCTGAGTTGGAAGGGAGCCATCAGGATCACCGAGTCCAACTCCTGGCCCTGTGCATGACACCCCAGGAGTCACACCCTGTGCTTGAGAGCAGTGTCCAAATGCTTCTTGAACTCTGTCAGGCTGGTGCTGTCACCACTTCCCTGGGGAGCCTGTGCCAGTGCCCAAGCACCCTCTGGGTGAAAAACCTTTTCCTGATACCTGTCCTAACCCTCCTCCGACTCAGCTTCACGCTGTTTCCTCAAGTCCTCTCACTGGCCACGAGAGTGAAGAGATCGGTACGTGCCCTTCTGCTTCCCCTCGTGAGGATGCTGAAGACCACAATGAGGTCTCTCCTCAGTCTCCTCTTCTCCAAGCTGAACAAACCAAGTGACCTCAGCCCCTCATAAGGCTTCCCCTCCAGACCCTTCACCATCCTTGTGGCCCACCCTTGGACGCTGTCTGATAGCTTAATTACGTTATCAACTTATGAAGCTACTGTAGAAAAAACAACTGCCTTGTCCACCTACTCAATGCAAAAGAAAAATTTTAAATGTGAACTTCAGGAAAATTGTTGTGCTTCAACTGGAGAAGATGATGTGGTCACTCTAATCCAGCCCCAGCCTATTGCTGAATGATTAACACAGACCTTTTCTACACTCTTCTTACTGTATACTGTTTTGATGACAGGAGCTGCCAACAAGCAGTGAAGCTTGATTCTGGCATGTATTGTTATTAGTATTAATCTTGGACTTGAAAGCCAGTAGATGTTTCTCTCACTAAGTGCACATTTGAAGCAGAAGAGAGGTGAATGCTTAAAAGTAACTGCAAATGCTACTTTTAAAAAGATACAATAAATATGTATAAATGTACTTATGTCTTTTTTCCCTATCTCACCGAAGAGAAATGTAACACTGCTCTTGCATGCTGCAGGTAATGTTCCATCCTAGGGGGTGCTAAAAATAGTAAACTGAGCTGTTGCTGTACCAGAAATCACAGCTTTCGAAGAAAAGGTGGAAGAACAGCTGCAGGAAGCAAATGCCTGGCATGATGGATTTCATCTGCCTGATGGGGTGATGTAGAACTTGGGGCTGTCCATAGTGACTTCATGCAGAAAGTATGTAAAGGAAGGAGTAGTATGGGAGATGCTTCACCAAATCCCCTCAGAGCAAAAAGAAACAAAACTTTGCCATAAGTTGTATGTTCATAAAGGCCTTTTGGAACTCTGTGTAGGTGTCAGAGAATAGTTTGGGTTAGAAGGCACCTTCAAGATCATCTTGTTCCAGCCCCCTGCCATGGGGCAGGGACTCCTTCCACTAGACCCGGTTGCTCAAAGCCCCATCCAATCTCACCTTGAACACATCCAAGGATGGGGCACCCACAACTCCGGACAATCTGTTCCAGTGCCTCACCATCCTCACAGTAAAGAATTTCTTCCTTATACCTAAACTTACCCTCTTTTGGTTTAAAGCTGCTCCTCCTTGTCCTGTCACCACATGGCCTTGTAAAAGTCCCTCTCCATCTTTCTTAGAGGTTACCTTTGGGTAGTGGCAAGTTCCAGTTAGGTCTTCTCTTTTCCAGGTGAACAATTCCAATTCTCTCAGCCTTTTCTCATAGGACCTATATTCTATCCCTCTCATCATCTTGGTGGCCTCCTCTGGACTCATTCCAGCAGGTCCATGGCCTTCCTGTGCTGGGACCCCAGAGCTGGATGCAGCCCTGTAGGTGGGCTCTGAGCAGAGCAGAGGGACTCTGGCCCTGCTGCCCACGCTGCTTTGGATGCAGCCCAGGATACAATGGGCTCTCTGGGATCCAAGTGCACATTGCTGGGTCATGTCCAGCCTCTCACCCACCAGAACCCCCAAAGTCCCTCTGGGCAGGGCTGCTCCCAGTCTGTTCATTCCCAGCCTGTGTAGATCCCAGGGGTTGCCTGGACCCAGGCGCAGCCCCCTGTTAAACCCCCTTGCTAAACCACATGAGATTTGCATGGGCCCACTTCTTGAGCTTCTTAGAGGGCTTATAACCATGAAATTATGAGGTTGAGTTCAACAGTCAGGGAATTCAATCTAGCATGCTATGTGTAGCAAAGCTTGCTACACCTAAGTTTTCCAGTTTGCATCAAATAATGTGTACCTTGGCACTCCTGACATAAATAAGGGTTTTGTGCATAGTCAAAGAGCAATGAACAAACCACCATTAGGGAACACTAGTTATTATTATTACAATTTTAAAAAGGAAAAAGCAAATGAACAAAATTGTAATGGGTTTTGAGGGACAAAGTGTAGTCCCAAACTGATGAATGAAGATTTGGCCATTACAACTACAATAGCTGTTGTAGATTAGGCTTGCCTCTTCGAATCAAATTACAAAGCTCTTGAGTGCTACCAGTGAATATCTGGAGCTTTTATGAAGCATATGTGTCTCCTAAATTTATCTGTGGAGAAAGAGGAACATTTTGATTTGTTAGTACTGTCACGTAGTGTGAAATCTGTCTCTTAGAACAAAAATGAAAGCTAATAATGAGCTGCAATGTATTAAAATGAGCACAGGTTCTTTTGAAGTGCTGCCTAGATCCATGCTAGCAGTTTGAAGCCTTTGTAACAATTCATAAGAGCCAAAAAGCACACCACCAAACTTGCAGGGTAGTATTGAAGAGAATAATAGCAAATAAAAGATCCCTTGAAATGTGTGCCCACCTATCCTTCTAGTTCTAAGGGAGCCTCCAGCTGTGAAACTACATTTTAACACCTCTGATGATGAAGGGCATCTGCTGGTGAATGCTTATTTTCAGGGATATCACTCTTTTTCCTACTGCTCTGAGTAGGTAGGTCCCCACCTCAGTTTGGAACAGGCCTTGCTGCTGATGCTTTCTCCTGTGTGTGCACACAGCCCCCCTTGCCCATCAGCACCAGTTGGCATTTGCTCCCTTGCTGTGTTGTGGTGCCTCCACCCAGGCTCTGGCTACCAACTCCTGCATGCTCAATAGGAGATCCAGGCCAGGCAGTGTGTCCCAATGGGATGGCTCTCACCTCCAGTGTGGGGAGCAGTGCTTTGGATGCACTTACTTGTCAATCAACCACCTCTTCCTCAGTGACCATGTTTCCTAGAGCACTGCTCATCTGTCCCTGGTTTCTCCATGTGGGTGCCATGCAAAACTCCCCAGAGTGCTCAGCTGTAGCACTGGCAGTGCCATAAAAAGTTCATTTCACATACTTTAGAGAGAAGGGTTGGTTCTATTTATACACCCCACTAAGGGCAGTAGATTGATAACTCTGACTCATTGATGGTTTGTGGGTTGTCACAGCTACTGGCACTTTTCCTGCCATTTCTAGCACCATTTTATCATTCTCTGACTTGCAGTTAGCATTACCAGAGAAATTTGTGCTTTCATTTTCTGAATTGTACGCTGCTTTTTTCACGGATTTGCAAATTTTGAATTTCAATCCAGTCTTTCCCAGCTTAGTGTTGCCTGCATATTTAATAAGCATATTCTGTTCTGTAACCCAGTCTATTGGTGAAGATGCTGAACAATTTTAGATCTGGGACAAATTTCTTTGTGGAGTGCTTCAGAGATCCTTTTTTTCTCCTTGTATTTTCATAGTTGATGAGATGGTGAGTGCCAGCTCTGTGTCATCAGATGTGCAGGCTTTGTTATAAAAGACTGTACAATTATGGCTTCATTTATAGGTTATATAAGGCTAAGTCTGTAGGACTACAATTGAGACTGTAGCTATGATTTTCAAAACGCTTGACTACAGCATCATCACTTGTAGGAGTTATCTGAAGGTCTATCACTGTCTCATCAGTAAAAGCATTATTGAAACTATCCCTTCTTCAGAAATATGGCATTTTTACTTATTTGTTTCTGCACTAACTAGATGTGGATAGGAAAAGTTTAGAAGAGTTTGCAATGATCCCAAAACCTGTAAACTGGGGAGACAATTTCTATGGTATGTTCTGAGTTAAATTTGGTTTTGTAAGAACATTCAGAAAATTTATTACAGCAGAGGTTTGTCTGGGAAGCTGCAATGCTGAGAAAGATTTTGCAGAAGCCCCTTTCACTAAATACAATGTAATAGAATTTAAGGCCAGTACAGGCTTGGACTGTGTGTGCAAACATCTGCTATCTGGAGGCAGCTATCAGAAAACAGTACCAGCCAGAGCAAATAGGGATGCAAAAGGAAATGCAAATAGTCGACTACCTGGTAAAGTCCAGGATCAGGAGGTAGATTAATTTCCAGCAATATAGTCTTAAAATACAGTAATACTAAATATTACTGGATTTAATCCCAGGTAGTTGTTAGGATAAGTATTATGTTGGCAGCATATCTGGAAGACCACCCAGAGTCATCTTAATATTTCTCATTCTGAAGCTGACTCACTAGAATGCATGATACTGATAACCATCCTCCAGCATAAACATGAAGCAGGTAAAGAGATTTTCATAGACATCAGTGCTATAAAGTTAAGGCTCTCATCCTGAGGTAGCTAGATTTTCAGTGGCTTCAGGCAAATAAAGGCCTTGGCTTCAATAGTTTTTTTTCAGGTTTTGAACATGAGCTCACTGTCTTGACTAGACTTGTGCATATTAATTTTTAATGTCAGTATCTAGAAGTGTGACCATGTGAGAATCTGATCAGAACTGATCTGCTTTGCTCAGAAGTAAAACTTTGTGTTAGTAAGTCACTTTTCCTTCAGTGCAGAACACAGTCAGGTGGTTTTAATGCCATGAGACAGCAAATAAAGTGGGATCATGTGCTTAGTTCAAACTAGTATCTGCACTCCAGCTGACTCTGTCAGTCTTCCAGCTGCCTCAATGAAGTGCTGGAAGAAATGCCACTTAGTGGCCGCAGAGACAGCCAACATGCTTTTAAAGCATGTTTTGGGTTTTTTTTTTCTTTAAACAAAGAATCATTTATTTATCTGCTAATATATATTTATCTACTGATCACTCTAACAACATCTATTAACCCACTAAATAAAAAATACCAAAGTTCTTTTATGGGAACCATCTGGACAACCCTTTGTAGAGACTTGTTGAGTACTTCAGGATACACTTGCTAAGCAGTAACCAAGAATTGGATGTAATTTATGATCTGCAGTGATTATGGTTCCTTCCTGAACTCCCTGTGAGCTGCCATGTACCATACAATTCTCTCTTTCTGAGTCCAAAAGACGAAGTGTGACCTGTGTTAAGAAATAAAATTATTTTGGCATCAACTCTGGTACCTTCCAGAGTTTCCAACTTTCCTGGAAATGAGGCCATAGAAATCCTCTCTCCTCTTCTGTAAGACCATTGTCAGTTTAGATTAATTTATTGTGCAAATCATAGAATCAATAAGGGTAGAAATGAGCTCCAATATCATCAAGTTCAGTCTTTGACTAAACTACAGCACTAAGTGCCACATCCAGTCATTTCTTGAACACTTCCAGATATGATGACTCCACCACTTCCCTGGGCAGCCCATTTCAATGCTTAACTGCCCTTTCAGTGAAAAAATTCTTCCAGATAGCCAGCCTGAGCCTTCCCTGGTGCAACTTGAGGCCATTTCCTCTCAACCTGTCACTGACTGCCTGGGAGAACAGGCCTACCCCCACCTGGCTACAATGTCTTTTCAGATAGTTGTAGGAGTGATGCATTTAATGTCCCACATTAAACAATCTGATAATGTTTTCTGAGGAGTATTTCCTAGGTCACTGAATCCTGGTCCTACTGAGAAAATCTATGCAAAATCCCTCTTACAAGGTGACTGTACTCTGCTTTGCAAATAATTAAGTTCAGTTGAACAAGATCATTTTTCAAATCTTGTTAAGTTGAATCTTAAATTGATTCATAAGGAGTTTATACCAGTAGTTCTGCACTAATGTCACC